ACTGGTAGCAGTGAATTGAACTATTCACTTTTAGACAGTCTTTAGCTTTTTAGTTCCTGAGACGGATGGGGGAAAGGCCGGGGAGGGGGGATGGGGTATATTCAAGTTAAGCCCCTCCTTCTCTCTAGTCAAAATCTGATTGAAACGATCAGCCCGCCCACCCGGCACCTCCTTGCCCCACCTACACAAAAGTGTGTGTACCACCAGTGTTTGCCGGATAGTGACCACCGCCGATAAGTTAAATCCTCCAAGATCGCCTCCAGGAAATCTTCATGCCATGACATTGGACCTACGCAAAGTGGCGAATTCTGCTTTCGTTAATTTTGAGTTTTTAGAAATACATAGTGGGTGACTGGCTGATGGTTTTGTGTGGTTTACTCCTTCTTTTCTATCAAACATCTAACCTCCTTATCTATCCTACTTACTTTTTTCGTATGCTACTATCTTAGTTTTAGCAGAGGTTTTACGGCGCTCGCAACTGCATAAGGTCAAATAAGCGCCTGAGGATTAGAGGTGTTACAAGAGAGTAACACAAATAAAAAAGAAGGGGAGATAAGGACAATAGATGTTTCATAGGAAAGAAGAAGCAAACCACACCAGAGCACCCGCCAAACACCCACATGCTACTATCTAGTAACACCTTTAATACACCTACTCTCAGTTGGGATAATCACACTGAAAATTGCTATTAATTCGGAGATGCCTTATTTTAAACTGTCGAATACATTTATGATAGCGGGTGTGTTTTTTGTATCTGTGTTTGTGTGCGTGTGTGTGTGTGTGTGTGTGTGTGTGTGTGTGTGTGTGTGTGTGAGAGAGAGAGAGAGAGAGAGAGAGAGAGATGAGATGAGATCAGGAGGGGGTGCCATGCTAATAATAATGCATGTCCGTGTGCATGTTTGAATATGTGGTTTAAATAGATGATTCGTTATTTCGGACCGAGTCCCAAGAAGGATCTCTTACAATCCGTCAGCATGCAGTGCGAGTGACCAGTCACACAGGAAGGCCCGTCCCCTTCCCGATCGTACACTTTGCTTGCTTTCAACGTCTTTGAATATGACGTCATGGATTTTTACTTGTTGCGATTGGCTCGAATCAGTTTGTGTTAGTAAGCCGCCTGTATATTTATAAGGAATACGTGAACACCGAGCCACATTATTATTGCCTAATACTCACCCATTTTTGAGAGCCAATCCTCTCTGAAAGTTGATATCATAGCATTCAAAAGGCTTAGGTGCGGTCTCTTAGACAGCCACTTTGATTCTGTCCGCTGACTGATTTATTTACGCCGCTCACCGTTCCTGTTGTGATTTTATTGCCTTACTTGTGATTTCATTTGTTTTTGGCGCTTCACTGTGTTACTGATCAGTGCTTGATTTTTAATTGAAACAAGTACTGTAATGTGGTATTCAGGGGCCAATAGATAAGATTCTGTGAGAGCTGTGAGCTGTTTACATATTTCTCAGTTTTTTCCCTCCTGTTGCTCTTTTCAGCTAACTTTTACCCCTTCAGTCCTGGTTGTGAAGTTGATTTTTTTGTATTTATTTTTTGTTTTTTTAGTTTTAGTAGAGGTTTTACGGCACTCGCAACTGCATAAGGTCATATGAGCGCCATTTATTTTTTGGAAAGAAGAACGATTACTTCGGACTGAAAAGTAAACCAAACCAATAAGCTCGTGGACACGAAGATGATGATTTTACAGTCGACAAAGCCCCAAGTTTTTGCTGTTTTGGCCATAATACTCTCCACCATCCTGGCTTTTACGCCGCACGTGAATGGACAATGTCCGGCCCAGTGCCAGTGCCACGATCTGAACGGCCACTCTGTGATCTGCTCTTTGTCTGACGTGTCCAGCATCCCCAGTGGTCTGGCTGCTTCCACAGTAAGGTTGACCATCATGGGACAGGGGGCCGCAAAGTTCTCTCTGAGCAGTCTCTCGCGCGCTGACTTCAATGGCTTGGTGAACCTGGTGTCATTAAAGATCTCTTTCACCGAGTTGACCACTGTCAGTGAAGATTCCTTCATAGATCTGGTCAATCTTACGCGGATTGACTTGTCCAATAACAGAATCTCAACTATTCTCCCGAATACATTTGCAAGTCTCAGAAAACTGACACATATATTTCTGTCTAACAATCCCGGTGCCAAGATTGAAGACCGTGCTTTCTGGAACGTTCCCTCTCTCCGTGAAGTTTACCTTGGCGGCCTGGGTCTTACGGAGTTGCACCCTAATATGTTTTACAATTTGAACAGTCTCACCAAACTGGACCTGAGCGCCAACCAGCTTACCTCATTCCCCGCAGACTTCCTAGCCCATATGCCCACTCTGCGCTCCCTCGATCTATCTTATAACAATCTGACTTACTTGAAAGACGATCTTGCCCCGTACTTTGGTAAACTCCAGCGTGTGTGGCTTGGGGGTAACCAATGGCGCTGTAACTGCCTAATAACCTGGCTGAAGAAGTATCCTCATGCTGTGGCTGCGGGTAAGACAGACGCTCTCACGTGCGCAGGTCCTCCGGCCCTTCAGCACCAACATCTGATGGACGTGGAGGAGTCACTCCTCAAGTGCGAACCGCCCGCCCTAAAGGACTGCCCCTTGAAAGTCACGTCTGAAGAAGGCGGTACTGTGGGAATCCGCTGTCTGGTGACCGGAGAGCCGTACCCGAACGTCACCTGGACGTTCGTGGAAGGCACCCAGATGACGTCAGACCGCATAAACGACGTGCCCTCGGACTGGGTGGCCGTGCACGTGGACAGCATCCCGTTGTCTTACGACGGCATCCTCGTGGTCACAGCCGTGAATAATGTAGGGAATGACACGTGCAAGATAGAAGTAGACGTCCACCCTCCCCACACTACTACTGTCGCTACCACAAACCCCACACCGGACAGCAGCAAGAAGCCGTCTACGCGAACAAGCTTAACCTCTATCGTAACCAGATCCACAAGCCCAGTTGGACTCTCGGCATCCTCGTCTCTATCTCCACTCTCTTCAAACAACCCAGCTGTGTTGTCTCCCAGCTCGCCAGGAAATCGAGCTGTGTCATCGTCGTCGTTGCCACAACCAGCGCCAGCGCAGAGCTCCCCGGCAGAGGACAACGCCCATGTTATCGCCCTTGCTGCCGTGTTCGGCACTGCGGCTCTCATCCTTGCTTCAGTCCTTACGGTGTTCGGTGTGAAGAAACTGACCTCGCTCAGCAGCCAGACCCGCATCAGCGTCACGCCGGACAGCCAACAGCGCCGCAAGAGCTTGTCGAGCACCCCGGAGTTGACGGACATGACCAACATACCCGGCACACCGCAGGCTCTCAGGCCTGGCATGGCCGCTAAGGGCGCCATGGCTTTTTTGAAACCGTGAAGGACAAAGACTGGGGTGTTCTGTCATTTCAGGCTTTTTGAATAGATCTATAATACTGTAAGAAGTTGTTGGTTTTTTTGTTTGTTTGTTGTTGTTTTTTTGGGGGGGGGGTGTAAATCAAATTCCGTCCGACGCACGAGTTTGTCATTTCCTTGGTTTGACTTTTTGGTAGACACCTTCCTAATTGGTAAACAGTATTATTATCACTGTTAAGTGGCATAATTTTGAAATATTTTTTTTTTCTTTTATAGAACTGAGCTTTGAGCTCCTTTTCTGTTACCAGTCTGTCAGGGTAGTAGCACTTTTTGTGTGTAATGACGGCCAGAGGAGATAGGTTAGGGAACCACTTCTGCCCAGCGAGTCAAGGGTAGAACCTCTTTGGACTAAGACTTCCCCATCTATTCAAATTTTTATGATCAGTGTTGTGTTCGAATCTGCACTGCAGCGTGGACGACATTGGTTAAAAATGTACTGCTTGGTCTTGTGTGTTTTTAGGGAAGTGGGGACGGGAGGGACTTACACGGCTCTCTTTCTTAGTTGATCGGAAATTTACTTTAGGTCGTACATTTCTACCTCTTAAGGGACCTGTGGAGTAGTGGTGGGCGGCTAGGTTCCCGATTATTGAAAGCTAGGAATCGTAGGAATCGACTCCGAACCCAATTACTTACTTTATAATGACGTGATTTCTTCCGGTGGTTACCTGGTTGGCTCCGAACATTTTCAGGATTTAGGATAACCTTGATTTTGGAATACTACGAAGCATCAACTTCTAATTTTCAAAAAATATATTCTTAAAAAAGAAAAAAAGATTTTAATGGTTACCGTTGGTTTACGTAAAAAGGAGACGGAACTTTACTTCCGTAGTATTAATCGTGGGAATCGGTTCCGGAATCGACTCTTCGCCCAGCTCTACTGTGTAGCATGGAAGGCGTGTAAATCAACGATACATAAAACTTACCTTCGTTACAATGTATTAATAAAGCCTCAAATGTCTAAAATCTACCAGAATAGCAATGGTGGCAGAATTTTGAACTACCGACACATAAATTATTTTATTTTAACGATGTACATGTGGCAATGTAATCTTTAAAGGAAACTCAGTGAAAATAAGGCTTTATTATCGAGTTATAGGCTAGATAATATTCATTTAAGGTATTATTAAATTTTCTACATAAGAAGTTTTCTTGTTTGTGAAAGGGGGAAAGGGGAAGTCCTGCACATGATTCTTGAGAAATTTTAGTCGACTGCTGTCTATAACAACGGTAATATGTCCTTTATAAAGGTTTTTCTCATTTATAGTCTTAAGTGTATTCCTTGTAGGTTTAGATCACATCAGTTTTGTGTCTGTATGTTTGTTTGATTTTAATTATTTTTTCTTAAAAGTTTTATTATTTACTTATTTATTTATTATTTATTTTTGTTCATTTACTTTATTTCATTTATTTCATTTTTTGTTACTTTGTTGACATTCGCTCTCAAGGTTCACAGATCCCAATGCTCATGTATCGTACTAAAGTCTTCCGTCCTAATATCAAACATAAGATGTGTTACCTCAAGTCAATACTGCTCTCCTGTTCGCACACATTTATGCACTCACATGACGACACACACACGCACATACATACACAAAAACACACACACAAACGCACACACGCACAAATATACTCACACAGACATTCACACACACTCACACACACACACACACACACACACACACACACACACACACACACACGCACACGCGCGCGCGCGCGCGCGCACACGGACACACACACGGAGACAGAGAGATAGAGAGAGAGAGGGAGAGAGAGAGAGTAAGAAAGAAAGAAAGAAAGGGAGAGAGAAAGAAAGAAAGGGAGAGAGAAAGAGATGTATAATATGCAGACACACACACGCAACCACACTCAAGCATAAACACCGCAGACAGACACACGCACACACACACACACACACACACACACACACACACACACACGCGCGCGCACGCACGCACGCACACACACACACACCGACGCGCGCACACACACACACACACACACACACACACACACACACACTCACACACGCATAGATCAAATAAAGCCACAGACGTACGCAGTCGCACGAATATGTTTACTTTGTTATTATCGTAATGTTAACTTCATGAATGCATTACTTATCGTTCATTTTCAATCACCTTTCTTATTAATGTTAACAAGTACATGTAATCCCTTTTTATATGTGTACTTAGAAAATATACTTGGTAATATTGTTGTTTTAATATATTTAATGTTGATAGTTATGCTGCTGCTGTTATGATGATAATGATTTCGACGTTTATTCAACTAATTAACTGCTGCTTTTGTTTTGTTTTGTGGTTTTTCGTTTGTTTGTTTTGTTGGGTTTTTTTGTTTTTGTTTTTTCAACCGAAGGAGGACGACTTTCTGATTACGGGCTGATGACATTAAGAGCTATTATTGATTGAATTAAGTGTTTTGTACGTGCATGATAAGAGGGACTGTTTTTACGCCCCCATCGACGCAAGTGATGGCTCTATTATTGATCGTTGACGTTGTTTTAATGTGTTGCCGCTGATAATGGCATTCCAGGGACAGCGTTCATCGTTGGGTGGTTGGAGGGTACCCCTGATAGGTCGTGCTTCTGTTCTTTCCTTCGTTTGTTTCTATTTGTCTGATTCACTCTTTCCCTGTACTAAACGACCCCCCCCCCCTCCCCCATTGTGCCTGTGGGTCACCCGCCTCTTTAACAAGTGAGAACGGTTAGATCGTCGGTTGGTATCATGCTGGACGTGCTGTGGAGCAGTTGGCCCTGGTTATAATCCATAACTAGGCTTTCTGAACTTGGGCTTTTTTTTTGGGGGGGGGGGGGGGTTAAGGCTTTCCAGTGGATGGTCGTTCGCGGGTTATCTGGTGTGGTTTGCTTCTTCTTACCTATCAAACATCTATCGTCTTTATCTCCCCTCCTTTTTATGTTTGTTACTCTCTTGTAACACCTCTAATCTTCGGCACTTATATGACCTTATTGTGTTGCAAGTGCCGTATAACTCTTACTAAAACTAAAACTAAACTAAAAGGCTTTCCACCCATTTGGCTCGTTTTAATGATAATGGTAACCAGAGCTACAGATAAAATAATTCTGTTTATATAGCGCATATCCACGCTCTACAAAATGTTCTGTGCGCTTTACAACAGTCAGAGGTCTCGACTCTTAAATAACCGTACAGTTTTGAAAGGGGCGTTAAACAAACACGACTACCTGCTAGGTTTTTTTTTAACAAAAGAAAAGGAAACAAAACAAACTGTACTAATCAGTGCAAACGTCTCGAAAATGTGACTAATGAGCGTCACAATAATAAAACATGTGTCAGCTCCAATGATAAATCCGACGCAAGTTGCACGACTGGGCTGGCTATTCCGAACTACAGGGCCCGAGAGGGGACAAAATCGACCTCCAGTGGGTATTTGATTTTTCTCCTAATCTTTCGAAAGTTTATATGTTTTTAGTTTTGTTTCATAGGAAAATTATTTTTTTTAAACTGTATTACATTGTATGAATTAATTTTTTTTTTAAATGTATTTCTGAAGTGTGTATGGTTTGATGTAATTTAATACTATTGCTCGATGAAGGACTTCCATTTTTTCGTGTCTTTTGTTTCCGCACCTTTCAGTATTAAAGTTTCCATATTTTCTTCAAATATAGTTTCACTGGCTTCATTTGTCAAACAATTGCAGGAAAAGTCAATAGTTTTTGCGTTGTTTTGTTTTGTTTTTGTCTTTGTTTTTTTTAAAGAATAATGCAAGTTTATTTTTATAAAGTTTCCGACTTTTTGGTGTCAATGCGTTTTTCTATAACGGCTTGTTATTTTTAGTGTGTTTATGCACCGGGGGGGGGGGCATTTTGATATTTTTGGAAAAGGTACAATGAAGGGTGCAGGTTGTTGGAGGGCGCCATGCCATTGGAAGTTTTTACTTGTTTTCCTCCCCTCTGTTGTTTCTGTCTGTTTTGCTTCTTTTTTTTCCCTGCACTAAATGACCGTTATCGTGTCGATGTGTTTCTGTACTCTTTACTTTAACAAACAAATGGTCGCTTTTAAGCAGAAAGGGGCTATCCCTAAAAATGCTGTTTTGAGAAAAAAGAAGGTTCAGTTTCTTTTAAAGACAAGGAGAGTTTTCTCTGTAACCAAACAAATGCACACACCAATGAGACCAAACTTATATAGGTAGAACAATGCCTTCTTTTGGTACAGGTCAAGATTTCTGGAAACCCCCGAAATCTGGGTCAGCCTGCTTGTCATTAAAAGCGACCAAATAATGAATGGTAAACCACTTGTTTGTGGTATCGGGATTAGGGACTTCGCCGCCACACGCAGAAGAATTGTTCAATTCTCGAGTGAGGAGAATTTATTTCAAGAATCTCCGTCTTTCTGCTGGGTCGTTGTATCCCTCTCCGCACGGGCTGGTCCTGGCAGGCAGGTTCGAAGCATTCCCCCTCCTGGATGATCTTTACTGTGTCGATAGGGGCGTAAAATAAATATCTACTATTACTTGATTGCTTATCATGAATGGTAACTAAGAGTGGTTCGACTTTTTTTTTTTTGCAGGTTTGTCTTTAGCGGTGATTTGCTCACCGTGGTGACACCGCCTTTATAAACGTTCGTTTTCGTGAACATGCCACACGGTCACATGAAGAGGTTGCTTCAAAATACTTAACGGCGGACTGTTACGATTGATATCTTAATTTACTTTGTAAACAACTAAAGCTATATTGATTGGGGGGGGGGGGGGGGTTCTTCTTATTTTTTTCTTGTTTGTGTGCTTGTTTGCTTGTTGTTGGTTTTATTTTTTGGTGGTTTTTTGTAGTATTTGAAAATGTTGATCATCTGTTCGTTTGAATTTGTATCTTAGCTTTTGGTAGGAGAATGTAGGTTTGATTCCTTCAGAAGTCCGTAGTATAATATCGCCATAAAATATAAACACACGCAACACGCGCTTGCGTACGCGCGCGCGCACACACACACACACACACACACACACACACACACACACACACACGCATGCACACACACACACATGCATA